AATACGTACAGGAAAAATACAAAACTTAGCACCATGCACTCCCCTCATTATTAGACAAAGGTTGGGAAGGGTTCACAAGTGTAAAACGCTCATGTGAATTATGAGATTACTGCTCAGTTTTCTTTCAAGTCGTGGGCTGGAAACAGATGGTGGCTGTAGCATTTATGACGGCACAACATGTTACTGCAAGCCTAGCCATCTCTCTCTTTCTCCTCTCAAAAATGCAGCTGCAAGGAAAGTTGTGGAAAATCACATTAATAGTCTCTTCCACCACACAGTTTTCCAGCCCTTCATCCCTGGCCAGCACATGGACAGAGCCATCTTGTATGCCAGCAAGAATACTCTCCTAATCCCTGTCCTGAATAGTTACCACTGACTGGCTTATTTAATAGCTAGTTAAAATGTGAGGTTTGTTAGCATTGTAAAAAAAGCCTTCAGAAAGCAGGTCTTTAAGGTCAGGGCAGATGCCATGTGATCCCAAGGGCTCCCTAAGGGAAACACTAAAAAAAAAGCCATCAGACTGTCTTTTAGCTGTTTATTATTTAAACATTCAGTTCAGGCCAAGCAGGTTGATTTATAAAGAAACAGAAAGACAGATATAACAATTGCAAAAGCATCTTTGTAACTCAGGAATCCAAATCTCACTTCCAAGCAAGAGTAGAAAGTTTCAGAAGGGCAAAGGCCTCTGGATTTTCAGTCAGACAGCCTTCCAATGACCACAGGCTTAGAAGGATCTGGGGCCCTGAAGATACAAAGAGCAACTAACCCCATATTTAAATATCTTGCCTATACGAAAGAAAAAAATGTCCATGTGTTTCAGTCCTGGTAGAAATGCCTTGCTGCCTAAAATATGTTCATACCTGGACTTGAACCCTTGAGCCAAGCCTGGGGCACAAGTCTTCCACTCTCAAGGCACCATAGAGGGCTCTGCTGACTCTCCAAACAGTACAGAACTGTTACCTGTTACCTAGGATTGCTGTGTGCTTTACAAGTGTGAAGCAATCCTGTATCACATCATTTCTGAGAGCATTAACTCTCTGGGATTCCAAAACTGGGATTTTAGAATGAGTTCTTCACTTGAGTTAATTAAGACTCTGTCAAATAATAATTTTTCCAGACCAGTGTCACTGGTGTATTGGGGTATCCATGCTGCTATTTTCACTTTGCTGGCCTCACAACCTGGTTGGGAACATCATCAGCAACATTATGTGTTCACCCTTAGCCACTCCAGTGTGTTCCTGCCACGCTTCCTGAAGCAAGCTACACACAGGGCAGCATTTCTGTCCTCTGGGATGTAGAGCAGGGCAACTGAAAGCAAGATAGACTTTTACCATTCCCTTTATCACTTTTCACAGCTAGACCAGGAAGTTGCTACAGAAATTCAATAGTGTACACACTTGAAACTCCAAGTAGCCTTTTGCCAGAGATAGACTCTCTCCAGGTGATATGACCATACATTTCCACTGCATATCTGTCATAACTGCAAAAGTCCTCAGACCTTTTCTCTAAGATAGAGAAGGTGCCATTTCATTTTTCTTTTGGAAACCTCCTCCTGCAGAATTCATTAGTATCCCATGCAACAATGTACTTCCTGTAAGTACTGAAATATAAAGTGTATTAGAAGTTTCCACTTCTGTTTTTATCTTTTCCTGATCTAGCCTGAAAATTCTTTTGAAGTTCTTCAAAATGTTCTTCATATATGCTTGTTTTAGGAAACACCAGATCACTATTGGCAAACTTCTCCTTAATTAAGTGAGATAAAGGAATCAAGATTATATCATCTGCTCAATTTCCCACCTTTTTAAGGTACCATTTTAGGATTTTTTTCCCCCCCTTGCCTTTGAAAAGAAACATGCTGAAGAAACTAAGGAAGGGGAAGGCCCAGAGAGGGCAAGCTTAGCTCTGTGCTCTCCAGTGTAACTGAGCTTGCTACTAAAAAAACACTGAATAGTTAAAGATTTCCCTCATTCCTATGGAATGGTTTATTAAAAAGTTTCAGACCCTTCTGAAACTCACATCACTTTGGACAACACTTGAGAGGAAAAGACTAAACTGCACTGTGTTAGCACCGTGGGCTCTTCAGGGCCTCAGCTCAGCGAGTCAGCTTAGATCACGCCTAACTTTAAGCACAAGTAACTTCAAAGAAACAGCTCACACGCCTCAAGTTCAGCTTTGCACTGTCTCCCTTGATGAATCACAGCTCAGGGTGTGCAGGGAGCTGACAGGAAACGTTTGCAGTGGCTAAGCCCAGCTGCAAGGCCCAGACCCCTGTGAGCTCCACGGGCACGGCCCAGCCACTCCGCATGGCCAGCAGCCCCTGCACAACAAATGGATACAAGCTCTTGGGCAAGCTCTTCTGAAGCACCTCCACAAGAAACATATCCCAGAACGGTTAAACTTTGATTTAAAAGCAGTGTTTGGGGCCATCAGTGAAGTACACAAGTGAGCATTAACCTGCCTGACTCCTGCACGGCCTGTTGAAGAAACCACTCTATCTGGGATAAATTGTTTCTGTCACTTTTGCTGCGGAAACCCCCTGGAGTCAAGGGGAATTCAGATCTTGGGCAGGTTTTTGAGTATCTTCCCGGCTTCAAGGAGACCTCTGAGCAGAATAATTTACAGTGGGTGAGTTTGGGCCAAGAAATGTCCTCACTTCCAAGAGAGTGAACATGGAGCCCGCAGCCCTCAGCCACACTGGAGCTGCTGGAGCATCTCTCCCTCCTCCTCTGGCCCCATACAGACTCCAACAGCAGCTGAGCAGAGCCCAGAGGTGGAATCTGGCCTCTTGAAACTTCCCTGGTCTTCAGGTTAAACCAGCACCACCTTTACACAGAAATCACGTGTAAAGCCAGGAGCTAAGGAAAGGTGAAGCATGGCCAGAATGAAGGGGACTCCCCTTTGAATATCTGAAATGTCATTTCATGTCAAATAATTTCCCATCTGAAATGTCTGAAACCTAAGGTTTGAGTGTTACTGCCTAGAGATGGAAGGCAGAAGTCACAGTGACATCGTTGGGTCAAAATTAGTCTCTCTTCAAAACAAAGACAGAGACGCTCTGAAGCCAACAGAGGTTTCTTGAAAGTCACGTAAAAATGAATTAAAAGTGGATGCCCAAATCCCTTAGGCTGCTGAAAAAATTCCAGCCAGGGATGTCCAGCAAGTCTGGAGGGGTCCTTCATACTTCACTGAGGTCTAAAAGTTTGAGTTCATCCCCCAAGGGAGCTGAGGCCACCCAGCTCTTCATCCATAGGCCCTCCGTCAACAGAATCTTTCTTGTGGTCAAAGAGGGGCTATCTTGAATTTATGTCTTACTTCTCCCCTTGTGAGTAAACAAAACAATTTCTATGAGTAATTCTACCCACTAATTGCCAAGGAAAAGTCTGGTAAGAAATGCTCTGCATTTTTGACAGGTCAGAGGCTTCCCTAAACAAAGTTGTTGTTTTATGTTTTCTATCAGCACATGTTCACATCCGGGGTCTTCAGTGAATTCCAGTGTGGATGAGTCTCTGTGGGAAATTGCTTTTCCCTATTTTCTTGTTCTAACTGCTCCAGGAAATGAGTCTATTTTTACAACAACACTAAACAGCAAAATATGAAACCATTATCTGCTTCATGGCAAGAGTTTCGGGTCAGTTCTCAGGTAACTGTCACCTCCAGAGAAGTCAATGGAGTTGTATCTGCTCAGGCAAGGTAGAGACCTGACCAATTATGTAATTGGTTGATCAGTTACCAGAAACACAGAGCTACCACAGGCCTAAGGAGTGTCTTGTTTTCATGCGTCTCAAAGTTCATCCAAGCCCTGATGCATTGATAAGTGAAGTATTCCAGTATTATGGTCTGTAAAGATGATAATTAACTGCTGAAAGATTTAAGCATGAGCATTCTCTACGAACATATACTTTCTCACTGAATGATCCTTATAAGTAGCATCTCTTCTGGATCCTTTTTTCACCTGCCAAATAAACCAGGGTGGGATTTTCAGAAGTGTTTAAAATGTTTTTCTCCTACTTATTTGTGATTGCTTTCAAGAATGAAGATGTTTTCAAAATCCCAGGGGATTTTAAGCATTATGGGCTCAACTGCATCTCTGTGTGTTTCTGCTTTTTGCACACCTGATTTAACAGCTACTCTGAATCTCAGAGCTGGACAGTAAACCCAGTTGCCTTCATTATGCAAGATCAAAGATAGTACATAGAGGCTAAAACACCAGGTCTGATCTGAAGATGAGTGTGTAACGCTTGTTACAAACTTGGCTCTTTATTTCTTGGTTTGAGGGACTACTCCAGCCTTTATATGTCAACTTCTTTTCTGTTCAAGCACTCAAGTGAGCCTTCCTTTGTGTATTTTATCTAAGAACTTGGGAGACATCTAGCATGCACAAGTATCAGTCCAAACATAAATTCCTGAGTTACCCAAAACTCAAACCAAGTCAGATTTGGTGGCCTGCTAGTAAGCCAAACATATAAATGATTTGATTCCTCTCTACAGGAAGAAGTAACCCTGGAAAAACGTGACATGAAATCTTCAAGTGACAGAAATTCTATCACTAGGATGCTCCCAGAATTTCATCCATTGATTATAAGCTAGACTAAGAGCTAGCACTTCCTTACCTTCTGATTGGGAAAGAGGTATTCGTGACTTTCCACCTAATTGGAAAGCTCACCAAACGTCACTCGAGACCAGCATGCAGAAAGCAAACTTAGAGACAATATCTAAGGAAAACAGAACCTAACCTATGACTTGTTCTTTGATTTACAACTGTGATTGTGGGCCCCACCTCACAGTCATATGCCATAGTAATAGGCAGCAGTTCAACAAGAGCCAGTCCTAGCTTTTCACATGTTGTAGTGATTCTGAGCTACTTCAGCACATACTTTAGACTGATGAAACAAGTAATTAGAATGACTAAAGAGACAGGTGGCATGCCACAACTGAAAAAAAGAAATGATTGAGCCGCCTTAGGTTTTGTTTATTCTACTTTTGAAATATTTTTCTTTTTTTTTTTCCCATACCAAAATTTGCCAAATTTCACATTAATTTTTCCTGTTTCAAATTTGTCTGCTATCAGTACAACTGTGAGTTTTCAAACTATATCCTGAGGTACCCAAATAGATCATCTGAAATGGGCTTACTGGCATTAGTGACTGCAGTCCTGAATCCACCCATGCCAAGAAAATATTTTCCCCAAGAACAAATATGTAATTCAAAATGGCAATCTCCATGGGAGCAGGAGTGGTACACTCCCAGCTGTTTTCCTAGTTGTATATACAAGACTTGTTACTTCATCTTTGAGGTCGCTTACAAAATACTTCAACACTCTGAGAGCACAAAGACCCCCAGCCCACAACTGGGATCCTGTGTCAGGAAGGCACACAGTAATTAAAAAATAAAGCATCAACTCTGCTCCATTTGCCTGAGGTCAATGGGATGTTTGTCCAAACCTAGGAGCATGCTCAGGCACCAGTGTGAAGAAGAGCAAAGACAAGCATCTCTTAAAGTGTTTTTCCATGTTAGGGCCTGGGAAAAAAATTTCAGATTGGGCCCATGATAAAAACAGTTCCCCATGGAAATGTTGCCCACACCATAAAAGGAAGGAATGACACTGAACTAAAGGAGAATGAAAATTGTCTACTGAATTTTTGTAAATTCCCATAAAATCTGAGTCTTGTTCTATGTGCATAATTTTGACTGTAAGTCATGAAAGGCTGACTCCTAAGAGAAGCAGGAAATGACTGGCTCATGATAGGATAAAAGGCTGCATAATTGCAAGGGCAGAAAGATGGATTTTCATCAATCACTACGTTCTCTGACAATATGGCAGTGGCTTTTGATCATGTATCCGATGCACAGTAATTAGCAAAACGACTTACCCTCAATCTTTTCAGTATTTAGCTCTAAGGGTGCAAGGATTCATTCTTGGAAAGGGAAGATGGTCGTGTGATTTAGGGCACTGGATGAGCACTCAGATCTGAGTCCTCTCCCTGGTTCTGCCACAGCCTTGCTGTATGACCTTGCACAGGCTTTTCTCCATGCCTCGGTCTCGCCTAAAATGGGATAACAATAGTTCTTTATTTCAGAGGAGATAGGAATACAAACCAGCTCAAGGCTGCGTCACAGAGATGCTACAGCAAAGAGCAGCACAGAAAAGCTCAGACACGGAATAATGCCTTGCTAATAAAATGTGGGAACACAGACAGTAATTAAATTGAGTAATAAACACAAAACATAGGCTGATTTTTGAGGAATGCAACACTGATAGGCTTTGTACCTGGAATTAAAGGAAATTCAAGTAGGATTCCTATGAGTTGACCTGACTCTGAGATCTGCTAGTAGTACAAACTGTGTATTAGAAACACCAAGAAAATTACTTCATTCAAAACCCCTACATAGTGTCTGTTTTACAGCAGCCATGATTTCCAGCCCAAATGAGGATCAGATAACTATCCAGGACATTTTCAAAGCCATAGGAGGGGCCTACAAACATAATTCCCTTTGATTCACAGTAAAATATGAGCATGCAAATCTGAGGTAGTTTTGAAACTTCAAAATAAAATCTGAAACTTTCAAATTAAAATATAAATGGGGCCACTGATCCTAATTAAACTGTCAGATGTCTGGAACAGCTTCAATGCCACTATTGCAGCATCACACTGCTGCTGAAATTAGACAGCACTTTAGCAAAGAGTCTTCAGTAGTATTTTTCCAAATGCAAAGATAAATCTTTTTCTCCAAAGCATTTGCCTTCCATGTCGGAGGTCAGTTATGGGCCTGTGGGTCTGGGAGAGAAGATCTAGGCATGTGCCTAGATAAACCAACTGATTTGGAGACCCACAGATCAAAGGCTGTTCTGTCAGGCAGAAATAGAGAAAACAGATATGAGACACATCTTAGGAAGGGAAAATAATTTCTGAGAGACAGAAAAAAGAGGGATGGGAAAGTCTGGCAGAGAACAGCTGGAAAACAGCCCACAGAAAGGCAACATGGACCTGAGGAGGAGAGGCAAGAGAACCTCATAAGTGGAAGGTTGAAGCCCATTGGAAGGAAGATACTGTTTTGAGCAAGAGTAAAAAGCCTAAACCCAATGTGCTGGAGCTACCTGGGAACCTGGGAGAGGAGCGACTGCCTGCAGTCACCATGCACCTCTTAACAAAGCAGATGCCAGGCAGGGCAGAGGACAGGAGAAAAGGAAAGCCAACTGGCACACAATCTTGGTTTCACTCAACAAAAGAAACTGAAGGACAGGTCTGGAAAGATGAAGCCCTGAATTAAACGTAATGAACTGGCTAAAGAATCAGTGACAATACACCATATTGTAATGCTGAGATTAGGTTTGGGCAGTCCTCTCTGTGTGTCTTTTCTGATCGGACAACACCTCAGAAAAAGATATAATCAGACCAAGAAGTTCTGGATCCCTGGACAGAGGAAATGAGTGCAGAACATAAAACAGAAAACATTTCATCCCCAAACTGCTGCCTACGATGTGGAAAGACAAAACCAACAATGTGTTCAAGCATTGCATGGAAGTGCAACTTTTGACAACCACCATTCTCGGCTCCATTAAGGCCCCTACTCACCCCCCACCCCACAAACAACAGAGCTGTCCATCAGATATTTTGTGGGTCCAACTGCTCACACCCTTCCCTGTAACACTCCAAATGCAGCACATTAGAAGTCCAGAGGGAGTCCACCTCCAGCAGACAGTGAAGAAGATATGACACGGCATTCACGAATGCACAGAGAACTGTTTAATTTACAGCCACAATGGTGAAACAAACCATTTCAGAGCTTGGACATTCAAAGTTAAGTCTGACACTCATTCTTATATTCACTTACTGTGCTTAAGTATTAGAGAACACAGGATTACATTAACCATACACAACAACCTGAGATCCCTGCGGGACCGAGGAGTGGAAGGGATGAGCAAGAATGAGGGACCAGCCCCTCAAGTGGTGTAAGCTGGTACAGCTCCATTGCAGGCAACGGAGTGATGGTGATTTACACCAGCTGAGGACATGGCCCTTGAAATGTCCAACTTAACTTTGAATTAACTTTGAATTAATTGTGACTCCCATGACAACCTTTAGTGTCACTGCTCCTTCTGGTTCTATCTGCCACTTTGAAGGACTAATCCCACAACCTGGCGGGTGAGAGCTCAGCTGGACTACAGGAAGTGATGCTCGTGTTGTGACACTACTCCTCGTAATTTACCAGCCATGGGCTGCATCCTCATCTGATGTAAATTAGCTTGGGGGCATCTAAAGTCAGAAACATTTGCCAATTTATAGTAGCTGAGAACATAGCCCTGAGATTTTTGTCTTTTCTGCCGCATGCTGTATGAACACTGTGCTTGACAACAAAGACTCGTGTGCGTTTCATTCCTCGTAACAAAATTAACTCAAGACTACAAGTCTCAAACAAGCGGCTATTGGAAAAGTCCCCATTCAGTCTTCACTCTCTCCTGGTGTGCTGAATTTGGCATAACACATTTATTTGCTGGCATAGACAAAACCTCTCAGTTTGCTTTGTTTTCAAGACTTTGCTACAAGGCCAGACTCCCTCGTGATGTAAATCAGAGCTCCAGGATACCCAGGGGAGTCACTCCCAAGGAGCTGGCCCACAAACCCAAACACAGCCTTCTCATGCCAGCCCAACCACAGGACCCTTTCCAAGAGTTGTTTTGCAAACTATTCCACTTAAGTGACTTTGACATCCTTTCACACCTGCACAGTGTCTGAGTGGGTCACGTAATGCTTTTCATCTACATGATTTTAATGGATATATGTTTGTTTTTTTTCTTTCATTAGATATCCTTTAGACAAAAAAAAAAAAAAAGGAACGGAGCAACATTATTGGCATCCCACTGAAACATAAATATATAAATTACATTTTATACACTTTCTTAAACGCAGACACATACATTCATGTGCATAACATTGTGAACAGTACACTTAGTGGAAAACAAGCACAGACAATCTTAGTTAAATGTATTTCCAGTTTTGGTGCTCAACAAATACACTGGGAAAATGATCACAAAATAGGATGGTGACTAACTATCTCTGCATTAGCATCTGAAGCCAATAATGCCTGTTAGCTAACATTGCTTTGTTTGGTTGAATTTGGACATAGCTATAGGAACAGGAGGGGAATGTTTGAACTATATTTAGAGAAATGGAAAGGTTAAAAATCTTGTTCTCTTGTTGTTTTAAGGTTCTGCAGTTCATTCACATTTGAAGATATTTTTATTTGAGTGGAAACACTGTCTTCAAGACAAACTTTTCTGTTGTTCCAAACTACGAAAACTCTTTCATCTCTTTGTAGATGTTTCACAAATAAAAGAATCCAGTAGTTCATTTTACATATCCAATGTAATAATCCAAATAAAACAAAGGGTACATAATCCAAACTACTGGGGTGGGGCAGTGATTTTGGCCAAGTGAGTAGCCATGTCATATCTGGCACAGCCCTAAATTTCCAAAGCAGTACAGAAGGATTTATCCATGAGGCTCCCACTGCAATCTGTGGGGAACTGAACATTTAATCCTTTGGCACTTTGAAAATACAGGAGCTGGTGCCAGAGTATTTTATCTGCCCTGCTATAGTTAAAATAGATTTTGATGTTATTTGGGCTATTCTACTACAAAAATATGACCACAAAATGCTTTTTTTTTTTCTTTTTTTTTCTTTTTTTTTCTTTTTTTTTTGGTTCAAGAAAACATAGCAGGCTTTCTCAGGTATATAAAACTGTTAATTTTTAGATAAAAATACAAACTTCACCTTTACAAAAACACATATTTCTGTTGAATACACATAAAGCATAACATTTTACCAAAAATAAAGAATTTTAGGTTTTTTCAAATATTTGCAGCAAGGTAATTCCCATGCCACCATGACATTATACAATGCAGATACAAGAATTTGTACATTTCACACAGCTCCAACATGTGAAATAAAAGTATCTGTATACTGATAAGAATGACAATTGCTAACACAATATCACTAGTAGGCAACTGGCATAAGTCTTAAAGAAAAAAAAAGGATTTTTGCATGGATATCCTATGATTTGTTTACGCACATCTCTCTTTTTTTTCTCTTTTTTTTCTTTTATGTAATGCTTTAAATTACGGGGGAGGTTGGGGAACATAAACCAAGAAACGTCTAGAAAATTATGCATAGGTATACCATTTTTATTTTAATACATCTCATTAGTTTGCATCCCACTAGGAGAAATACCATAATGTTTTGTGTTCTGCTTATTGTTATACCAGTCTTATATGTGTTATTGGCAAATGTAGTCCAAGAGATAATAAAAAGCTAGGCAAAGAGTAAAAAGAAAACTTAATAATCACTTTATGGTGTAAAAAAAAAAATCCACTTAAGGCTCCCCAGAAGGTTTTTTTGTATAGACTTTTAAAACACCACCAAGCAAGGATGTATTGTTCTATAGTGTTTGCGTGGCATTTGATCATTTCATACATTCCTGCTTTTTTTGTGCCTGAAGTCCACCAGTGTCCATCCATCTTCATCAAGAACGCAGGCACATTTCTTGACGTAAAGCACCGTTGACTGCTCTGACAGAAATCCACTATTCACTTAGATTTTTGTCATGTTTTTGAGTACTTTTGGTATCCTCCATTCATTCAACTGTCTTTTTTTCTTTTCTGTTTTTCTTTCTTTCGTTTTTTTTCTTTTTTGGACAGGGAAGCTTCCTATTGTTTCACAGAGTGCTACAATACTTGCTTTGATGTCACATTAAACAAATGTACATTGTCTCTTTGTTCTCATTAAGTGTTCTTTTGAGCCACTTTTTTCACACAGGAGAACAAATAAAGTATACAGTCAATAAGCACCATACATAGTAGGTTCAGGAATGTAACAAACCATGTACATCCATGTCCCAGAGAGAAGTTTTTTTTCTAGCTTATTTTCACCTTACATCTGCAGGAGAGAAAAAAGATACAATAACTCTATGATTAGAATCAAAGGTCCTGTCCTTGAAGTAGATGACTTTAAAAAAAAAAAACTGTTCTGCATGAAGAGTCACTAACCTGGGACAAGAAGTTCTAAATGCTGTTTTGATTGAGTTTACATGCTCACTTTTAAAGTTGAATTTTAGAAAATCTTTGCTTCTATCATACTACTCCAAATAAATACCTGTTAATCTGAAACAGGATATCAAGTTTAGCATTTTAGAAATGATACATTGGTGTAAATGAAAACTGCCACTGGGAGTTCATGTGCAAAAACAGGGGCTTGAAATTAAATTCACCATCATCCAGGCCTTAGGAACAGACACTGCAAAATCCAAATCATTCCCACTCCAAATACCAGAATCAATTGCAAGTGCTGCAGTTTACATACTTTCAAGCCATTAAGAAATGGAAATTCCATATTTAATTTGGAATGTGTGTCGCCATCATCATACATTGCTAATATGTTGGCCAAAGGATTTCAGTCATTTTTGCACTGAGAGGGTGTTAGTTTTTCACTACACTGAAAACTTCATGAATTTTGATGACTGACTATCATCATCCTACTGAGACTGAACAGACCAAAAATAAAGATCTTAATTTTAATTTTCTGGTGTAAGTAACACAGGACTCTGCAACACAAAAGAAAAAAAAAAAAAAGTATTTCTGGTCAAGTAAGCAGATCATCAGATTGTGCCAGGTGCATGTGCAATCAACCCCAGGTTGTGCCAGAACATGGGTTTGATGGTCACACAAATAATAATATTTGCTGTATGTACACTCAATGTTTCACAGCCAAGGACTGGGAACACAACGATTTGTAACTTGGCAATTCATTCATGCATTATCACGTGATGCTTTGACCTCAGAAATCAATAATAATGAAACACAAGCAGAGGCAATGGAACTTGAGATTTCAGAAGCTGAAGTATTAGCACCCTCCAATAAAAAAGAAATAAAAAAGGCAAGAAAAGGAAGTAGCTCAAGAATGTAAGATGCTGATGGTGATGTGGAGCTTAAAGGGAAAATACCAGCAGGTAGAATTATCAAAGCCAATCAAATCTAATCTCTTTGCAGCCTTGAGGTAGCAAGTGTCAAGATTTTGAACAGTGATTAAGTTGAAGTGATGATATTTGATTAAGTTTTCCAGTACTTGTGCTATTAGGGTGTTCAGCATATAGGTCCTACCTGAATATCAAATAGTTCCAGTAGGTTTTATGTTGGTTTTAACTTTTTTCGTTTCCGTTTTTTACCTGATTCCCTAGGCCTTCCTGTTAACATAAGGGCAGGGCTGGTGAAAAGCCCTAAGGTAATGCATTTCGTGTAACACTGAAGTCATAAATACTCAAACCGTTTACATTTCAAAGAAATCTCATTATCCTTTGCATTAAAGTATTAACTTTATAACGTCTGATTTGACATTGAGTTTACAAAGTAATTACACAAAAGTAAAGAAATAATAAACGAAGTTGGCATTGCACACGTCATTCCCAGGATCCATCTATAATTGCTGTTACCATGCAGTACTCAACATTTGCCTTCAGCTCTGGAGTTGAGCTATTTTCAGCTCACCATCCACTTGCTGGGTGCAAGCTTTGTTCCTATCAGTAATTAAATCCTAGAAATGCATATTTTTCCATGATAATTCTGCCCCATTTTTTACACATATCAAAACAAAAAAAAATTAATCTTAAAATCATAGCTGCTTCATCTATGACAATTAAAGACAATTTGGAAAACTGAAATTGATCTAATGAAACTTTATCTCCAAACGGGAGACATATGAAGTGTATCAAACCCACATTAAAAATAGTCACTTTATATGTGGTTTTGTCTAATAACTCCACCTAGTTTCAGATAAACACTCAGTTCAGATTATAAATTGATGTCCAGTAAAATTGCAGCAGAAGTCTAACTTTGCTTTTATAGAAATTCTAATTCCTCTGCTCTGTACATAGCAACTGAAGTTTACATTTGCTTGGACCAGGTTTATGTCTCCATGCTGGATGGAGCCAGTACAGAAAACCCTTCCTCACCCAGCCACCTACAAAATCTATCACCTTTGGACAGCTTTCCTCCTATGTCTACCTGCTCTTCACTGATTCTTTAATTTTGGGCTGGCTCTACTGCACCCTTAAATTCCCTGCAGAGGTACAGAACAAACTTCTGAGGCTGCCTTCAGCCAGCATCAGGAGAAAAGAAATGTCCTTTTCACATAGTGGGTTTTCTGAATAAGTGTGTCAAGCCCTGCATTGATTACACTGTAGTAAGTAGATCAGAGCCAATGATTTTAGATTAATTCAGAATGATTTTTTGAAAGCCAGATTGAAAGTAATTTTTCCCAACAAATCTTTATCCATTGTAACTCAAAGGTTGTCTTGATAAGGCAAATTTTGGTTTAATGCAACAACTGACAAATTCTTGAGTACACATACGTAAGGAAACAACAAGAATGAGCAATGTTTTTTCCAAACAAACTCCTTAGCCTTGAATCCTAAATTTATTCCCAAGTGCTTTACATTAATTTCATTCATATTTTCCCCAAGGTCAAGTAAATCTCGGTGTTAGCCCTGTCTCCACAAAGTCTAAAGAAATTAGGCAAAAGAGTTCACCCATGAGCTGCAACATGACAACCTTTAACTTAGTGAAGCAAGACCTGAACACTACTGGGCATTTACATTTATTTAAAGGCCAGCCTAACGAGAACTGATACACTTGAAATTTGAAATCTAAACTCCTTATACAGCACAAACTGGCCCTCATTTGGCATCTTCAACACAGAGAAGTAGCCTGGAGCTTCTCTATTGAGTTCACTGTGAGCAACATTTGCTTTACGTTCTTTACTAATATAAAAAATAAGGTCCATATGAAATCAGCAATAATGCAAAAATAAAAGGAAAACATACCAGTTTCTTCTTCTCTATAATCTGAATTAGTATTTGATGATGTACAGGTGCATTCCATATGCTCTTCTAATCTCACCAGAACTTCTTTTAATTTTGGCTTTTTTCTAACATACTCCACTTTTGCCACCTATAAAATACGATGAGGTATGTACTGAGACACATCAACATGGTTACAGTTCAGAACTGAAGACAGATAACTATATACCTCTATTTTTAATGTAGCCAAACCCATATAAAATGTTAGCATACTAATCATCTTTTATCTTAATTGTGCATCGTGTAACTATTTACTGCACAGACTATTTGTTTATTCAAGTTCTGTAGTTTGAAACAATTTTCCCCCCAAGAGATAAAACAATTTCCCATTCATCTTGGTTTGATGTTTTAAGCAACTCAGTTTCCACATGTATCACAATAAACTTCTATACAGATATAAATCAGTGGTTGTTCTTGTAAACTGCCACTTTCAGCACAATCTTCTGTACGTGTTGTTAAAGACTGACAGTGAAGGCATTAGACAGGTTTGTAATACATTTTGTTATTTACAAATTGGTGTCTCCAGAACCCTCTGAATATGAAGTGCTCAACCCTACACAACCAGGATCTGAGCATCACCTTAGAAAGCAGTTTCATTCCTACTTCCTCCCTGTAATAACCTGGGACTTGTTCACAAGAGCTCTCAAGCACAGTTCTTAGGTCCAAGGGAACTACCACTCCCTGAACTGGGTCCAGCCTTTGGCTTTATTGTGGAAAGCTGGCAGACAGAATATTTCTCCCCAGTCCTTCCAACTGTTCACAACTGCCCTGCTCCACTTACGGCATCCTTAAAATAAAAAAGTCTGGAGGACAAGTTGAGGTTGGAGGAAGGATCATGCTGGAGCAGCTCTGGCTACATGCAGATCTCTCATCTGAAGGCAACCAAGGCAGAACAGAAGGATGCTGGGGTGGGGGAATACTGAACACTAGGAATCCTGACAGCCAGGAGAGGAGGAATGGCAGAGAGGGCAGAGCACTGATGTTCTGGAGTGCTGAAGTAGCTCATGGAATGCTGGCCACTGACTTGTGCTAAGTGTAATGTAGTGGGCATGATGGTCAGGACCATGCAAGGGAATATGGCCTAATGTGGACAAGGAGAGTGCTAGAGAGTTTTTAAGGGGTCCAGTGTTTAGTTCTCAACTGTGCTGAACATTGCAGAATAGGTGGTGATCATTTGCTTGAAATGAAAATCCCTGCAATTAAATCATGGCTCCTCAGACCTACTCATCTGACAAAAGGGCACAGCAGTATGGCTGTCCCAACAAACAAGACTACAAATCACAGGGATGCAGTGTAAATAAGAGAGATGAGGGAGCAGGAGGACAGGGGAGGCTGGCTGTCTCTACAGAGGTTACATGACAAAACCATAAAGGCTGGTCCAACCAAAGCTCCAGTCACTACCAAATAAAGCATCCACAATGACACTCCCAGCCACTGTTTCCTTGTGTGTTTGGTGGGGATTCAATGCTCTAAATCAATCTTCACACTGCGAAAATCATCCCCTTGCCCTTTCAAAACTGGAACAACAGTGTCACGAAATGAGAGTGGTAGCTGGAAAAACCCATTCCATTCCCAGTTCTCAGAAACTCTCTTCTGGCTCTGGGGTCACAACTATCGAGGGCCTCTGAATGCCAGTGAGAGAAGCTAGAGCAAAATCCTGGACTTTCTAAAGCCAGTGGGAGATCTGCCTGAGCTTTCACAGAGCAAGGAGTTCAGATCCACATTTTAGTCACCACCCCTTCTGTCAACAGGATCTGGAGTCGATTTTAATTTACCCAGCAAGCAAAAGTTACAGAAACAGATGCAATAAGTGAAGTATCCACATTAAAAGGTATCTTCTGAACCTGTCAGATCTCCATGTAAACAGATTAAGAGCTGGCCATGACATACCAGAACACTTTATCTGAAAGACTAACTATGGATTGAAGCAGTATGTTTCAAAACTTCCTATCAGAACCCAACTCCATCAAGCCTTTGAACACAATGATTTGAAAATGTATGGTACAACTGAGTCATCTGGCATCAAAGGATGACTAATCCTTAAAATTTATGAAAACAAACAGTAATTAAGACACCTCCATCATCAGAGACAAAGAAAGGGACCCAGCAATCACGGAACAGCTCTCAGATCTGCCATGCTTATTACAGCTGTTAGAATAAACCAGTCTCATTGAAAATTACACGCAACAAAAATAAACTGTAATCAAGCTTTTAAAAGCTTGTCCTTGTTTCGCTTGGTTTTACAAACTGAAAGATATATGCAGTTCTTGTGGCTGTTGGTATTAAATAACAGTTAAAAAACCAGAAACAGTAATACTTTGTAGAGGATCATAATTAATTTATGCAGCAATTTAAAGCTGGCTTTTATTATTGTAGTTAAAACACAATCCAGCACACGTTCCACTGCCCTACTTCACACTACTCAAGTTAAAGGAATGTCATTTTGTAGACGTTGCAAATACTGGAAGTGAAACAGCACAAACCAGATAGGCTGCTGTGTCTGTGTCACCTGTTAACACCTGCTGCCACACACAGTGTTGATCTACAACAATGTAGCCTGCAGGTCCCATTTTCAGAGAGTATAAACAGGGGTAGCTGTGCCAACACCATGGGATCTGGCCTTGTGTACAAATGGTTTTTTCTTCTTTGTATTTTTCTCCTTGGTGTTTATATTGTACAGTGTCTCAAGTGTATTACACAGAACTTTGAAGTGGTCAATCCTCAACAAATCAACAAGCTCCTTTTACTTGTCTCTAATGTAACAAAAATAAAAATCCTTAAACCCTCCAGATCCAGGAAATACCACTATATAAAAACTCTTTGAGAGCAAGACAGTGAAATAACTGATTAGCTTCTCAAATGGTATATAATCAGTGGTACCATACTTGCATCAGTGTAGATTCTAGGTCTACATCCTGCAATACAGTGTGGTGGCTAAGTAAAAATGAAAATTAAATCTGATAAAAATTAGTGGCCTAATGGAAAACATCGCGGGAACTTTTTTTTTAGGGATTCTCCAGGAGATATGGAATCAGGGATTAACAGCAGGGGAAAAAAACCAAGACTAAGCAGAAATGTTCAAAACACCTCCAGTACAAAACTAAAATTTATCACGGGCAGGAGCTCACAAGAGAAGTGTCAGCACAGATAGTTCCTCATAACCTCAGAACTCATGTGGCTGATGCCTAAATACTGGATGGAAACAAGCCCAAAAAGCAACTGAATGAGGATATTTCTTGGAATCATCTATTGCTTCCACATTAAAATAACTGCATGCTGATACAACGGAGGGAAAACTGTGAGGAGGACGTGAGTCAACAGGGACTCAAGGACTGGGGAGGCATCAGGAGCCTTCAGGGCCTGGCAAGTAACTGCTGCAGGGACAGGAGGACAGGAATGGCTGTGTGGGGTCTCTGTCCCCGAGCAGAGCAGAGCAGCCAGACCCTCTGCCAGGCTGGGAGGCTTCCCATGCTCCAGAGCTCCTCGCTGCTTTTCCTCCTCTGCCGGGGTTTCCTTGGTTTCTCCCATTCCTAAACTGACCTTTGATACCTGGTCCTGCCTGCCAGTCCCACCGAGTGCTGGCTGCAATTGCAGTTAAACCACAGCTCATTCCAAGTGCTCCTTATCCCAGTGGCAGAAGAAGAAGGTTCTTAAACCTGCAAACATGACATACAGCCAGAACACACCCCATGTGTTCTGCAAGGCCTTTTCAGCCCACTCTGAGGCTGGGGAGCTCCGCTGAACAGCTCATCCTTAACTCCAGCATTTTTTTCCAACCTCTGAACAACTCCCCAGCGACAGCTGAGGAACTGCTCCTGCATTCCCTCCTGTCCAGCTCCTTTTCTCTGCACCTCACCCACGTATTTTACTCTAAGAATATACCAGGTTAAGATTCCCCAGATCAGCTCAGCACTGAATATGCAGAAATGGCTGAAGCTGGCAGGGCTTCTGCTCAAGGCCAACCTGAGGCAAAGCTGAGGTAGATGGAGTCATTTAGCTCTTGTTTCTTAATTTGCATTGCTGCAAACAATCATATTGTTCAACTTGGCTATTCAAAATTAGTAGCATAGCAGCATTTACTCCATAATACTAATTATTTTCTGCTTCTGTGACCAAACCCACCAAGAACAACACTGTGCTCAAAAAGCCTCTTGGGAAGACCCTTGTTCAGAACGCCCCAAATAAATTATGGTCTGGTGCTTGGTAAATACTTGAACTCACTAGACAGAAGCAATAAGATCTGCAGATGTTACTGAAATGCTTTTGCACACAGAGGAGAAAATCTCTCTGTAACAGACACCAACACCCCTAACTCCCCCATCAATGTCACCATTGCTCTGTAAGGAGAGAAATAGAATCCTTTCCTTCCCATCAAAGAGCAGCACTCAACCAGCCTCTCCATCTCAGTCCAAGTTCTGTGGGGCTGTGCAGGGGCAGTTTGCTGAACAGAGACGTCTTCAGAACCAGGAAGCTTTGCTCACTATCACCATGCAGGGCAAACCCACCTTTCCCTAACGAAACCCACCCCGTGAAAGGGAAACCTTACAACACCCATTTCAGGAAAGCTGTTCCACCAATCCCCCTGGCTTGGAGCCTCCCTACAGCTTCAATTCCACATTAATGGTATTTCACTGATGAGAGCTCAGTGAAGACATAGAAAGGGTATCCCCAAACCCTCCAGCATTTGAATCATGTCCCAGGAATGAAATGCCTGGACACAAGCACCTCCACTGCTCCTCCCACACTGCCCCAGCCATCTCTTAACCTTGACTACAGTGGTCCTTAGTGAGACAAAGAAAACACCCTTTGCTTTTGCCTGTTGGATGATGCAAACCCACTTGCTGACCTTTCTGGATGAACATTTTTCTAGTGTGAATGGGCCAGCTATGATCTCACTACCTTGTCAATGAGGAGGAAGCGGGGAAAGCCTTTTCAATGTTCCATCAAAAGAGAGCTTTTATGCAGTCTGACATCAGGGGAAAACACAAGCTGGCTTTCCAACTGCACTGCAGAGCAGCTGAGAAGGCTCTCCAAAACTGCTCCCACCTTTCCAGGGACCCTCTCTCTGAGCCAGCTACTTAATGGCATGAGCAGACATTCAGCTCTAAACTTAGGATTGGCAAAAGGCTCAGAAAACCATCAATTACATCAAAGCTACAAGGGGATCTGACTCTGGAGGGCATAAATATGGATTCTGTTCTAAGAGTTTGGTGTGACAGTGGGGTCAGCCTACAACCTTTACAATGAACATCCTGTTCCTGCTTGACCTCTTGTCCTTTTTTTCCCCTGCTACTTAATGACTGTTTGGAGCAGTCTTGGAGCTAGGAAAAAAATGTCCTCCAAAGCTGGCTGACGTATATTGATATTGCTGGTGGCAATATATTTACACAGCCACAAAAAGCAGCTGCTCAGCTGAACCTACTTTTAGCTTGTGCCCTACTAAAATGAATGCAAATATAAAAGCACTACAATGGGCTGAGAGACTAAAATCCCTCAACGTGGTTGTGTGCTGGGGAAGCAGCCCCAGCAGTGACATCCTGCAGAGCTGCTGCCAGGAGTTTGCAGCTCTTAGGGAACACTCAGAGTCCCAGTAGCAGGGGGACAGCCAAGACCCTCTCTCTCATCTGTCATCTCCCCCATCCCTCAGGGGTAGGAGAGAAGCACAAGGTTCACACCCAGGTACCCAGTATCACACACAGGTACCAACAGCAAGTTCATCACACACATCTCAGCTCTTTGCTGAGCACATCCAGCTGCTCTGTACATGTTTGCTGCTGCACAAAATCAACTGGAAGCTGCATCCAACCCAAAGGCAACAGCACTAAATATCACAACCCTGAGGCACTTTGCTGTTTAGCTCCTATTCAGAAAGGTTTACAATTGCAGTCCTTCAATCTCCCCAGTTTCTTCTCAAGTAATTATTGATCCAAATTTTGACCTCATTTTTAATTGTTTCTGCAAAGCAGATCCCCATTAAGGCAAGGCAGCAAGCAAGTTTAAAGTATGATCATTTTTGGGAACACTGAGGGAATCTTAGATGTTTCTCCAGCTTATTTGGATGCAAAAACATTTCTCAGATGTTCAGAACCACAAAAGAAAAAGAAATTTTGCCCAGACACATGTCTGCATGTATGAAAAACAGTGTATGAAAAACAATGAAATTACTTAGGTGCCTTGTTTTTGTTCTAGGATGTACAGCACTAAATGAACAGCACTTTTCTAAAGAAATCCATTACAAGTGCAGCAATCAGTGTGTTCTGCTGAGCAATTTTACGTTCAAGAATGTGGTAGGGTTTATTTTAATTCTGCTCTTAGGAAATTCAGGGCAATGAGAACTCAGAATCTTCACAATATGAATGCTAAGTGTAAGTCTAATCTCCTACACACAGATGTAGATCAACAGTACTTGTTTAAATACTGATAAAAATTAGAACACAGTGAAGCCAGATGAACATAAATATTTCACGTAATATTTACTGGAAAGTTGCAATAGGGATTTTGTCTAATGAGTAAATACAGCATGAAGCTGTTGAGTCTTCTATCCCTGGGGTAAGATAATTTGAAACACATTTTTTCAGATCAAAAGTGTTATGTTGTCAGATATAAAAGCCCAATTTAGGCTGCATAATATTTAATTAAGAAAACAGCATTCCATACTGTGATTTATTTATTTTTTTAAGTCCAATGCCCCTTGAGTCATTTTATCTTCTTAACTTTAAGATCTGTACTGTGCGAGATCATGGGAAAGGCACAATCAACTTTATTTTCATTGCAAAAAAAAAAAAAAAAAAAAAAAAGAGAGAGAAAACCTAAAGGGAATCCTGTGAAAATCAAACCCAAACCCAAGATTTTCCAATGACCACGTAACTGGGAAAGGCCATCTGCTCACTCAAAGCGGAGAGGGGCGCTCTATCCAAGAGGGGATAGCGAAGATTTGGGTCACACGGGCACAGGGATAATGGGGTTTCCAGGCTGGAGAGGAGCCAGCTGGGGCCCCGCAGCCCCTGCTCACCTTGACACTCCTGTGGTGTATCCGGGAGGGCTGGCACTTGACGCTGCTGGTGTTGCAGCAGCCGGTGCAGCGCTTCACCTCCACGCAGGGCGGCCATATCAGGAAGTTGGCCGAGGTGGGGTCGATCTGGCTCCGAGGTATCTCGTAGATCACCGTCCGTGTCTTGCACACCGCCGGGATGGCCTCCTCTGCGGGCACAGCACAGTCACACCCCAGCTCACAGCACCCCCATGGCCGAGCTACACGTGGCACCAGCGCTCCCAGCCCCACTGGTCACTGGCAAGGCAGTGCTGAGCGCTGTTTGCTTACAGCTGAGCTCTGCTGTTACCCTGGGGACAAGCCTGATTCGTTCCCAAAGCCCAGCCCTAAAATGAGGGTTTCCAGTATCCTGGCTCCCGACACAGATTGGAGCACATACCATGAGATAAGAGAATTCTGGCTCTGGAAGTGACAGCAAGCCAGGAGCTCCTCCACATTTGATGACCCCCTAGTAGAGCCTCAGAGTGGCTGTGCAACAGCAGCTGCTGTTTTCCAGCACTGGGGTCATCACTGCACACAAATACCATCACACAAACATGCAACACCTGGCAAACATCGCCTCAAAAGTTAAATTGAGGATTATTTGTATCATACCCAATTTGCACACCTGGGAAACAACCTGCACCAGCTTGAAACTCTCAAGACTTGGGTTTCTACTTCCAGAACTTTAATATCCCCACATCAGGGAGTCTGGTTCATCCACCATTCCAAAGGGCAATTGCCATTTTTTCTGAAGTCATCAAAGCTTTGTACATGGTGGGTTTTATTTAATTTGTTATTTCCTGAATGATACAAAACCACCAGAGCAGCATGACCGAAAAACCTGCAGTTAAACCAATATCCTGGTGGGCTCAGGTAAGTGAGCTTGTTTAGGATTATAAAGAGTTGCTCTGTACTACTGTGTGATGCTGCCATGATCCAAACCATTTATCATCATCAACCTAGGGACTGCTTAAGAAGTCAGCTGATATTTCAAAACAGTCCAGAAAAAAACAGCAATTTCAGGGACAAGTTGTTTGCTGATAAGTTCTCCACAGACATCTGGGATTTTTTTTTTTTTTGCCTTGCAGTGGAAGCTTGTGATAGCTTTGGGTTAAATGTGTCAGGGAACTGGAACACTGCCTGCACTTCTTCACTTAGTTCTTAAGTACAAGAAGCTCATGCCTAGCATGTGCCTGCAACACAGAAATCTAGGCTTAGTTTCGAAAGAGATGCATTTCAATAGACTAAATAAGTGAAAATTCTTACTCTCAGCCCCCAGTGCCATGAACTCAAGAAAATTAACAGATGCAATACTGCAAGATAGCTGGCAACTCCTACAAGTTATTGAGCACACCCAGTTCCCAGTGCCTGTGGTGGGGAGGCATCCAGCACCTTGCAGGGTGAGGTGCCAACGTCGCCGGCTGCCTCAGAACCGCTGCTCTCCCGAGGCAGCCAAGGCACCGGGTGCCTGCCAATTCACACTGCAAATCCCTGCTGACAGCAAGCTGGGCTATCTCTGCCTACCACCACGCTGAATTACCCACCACAGGTAACATCGTGGATGTTTTCCACACTCCAGTGGAACGGTGGGACACTCACACCTAATTAAATGAACAAGCACTGCACGTAAATCCTATTCGTGCATCCCTTTTTTAAATTTATATTTGGGATTTGTTGGATCACCATTGTTATTAATCAGGATAAAATCCCCTGTAAACAGGCCTGGTACCCTACGCAGTGATGAAAATCAATGCCCTGGAGTTCCCATCAATGGCTTTTAATTTTGGGGATAAACTGTATTTTTCTTGTGAATAAAGAGTCAAGCTGTTTCCTTTTGTGGAGCTTCTGTACTGAAAACTCTACCAACTGTTGATGTTTTTTAAAGCACACTGCTGTAGTTGTTCCCCACACTATGAATTATACATTGAATATCACAGCATTTTCTAACCAAGGTCTAGCTTTCCAACATGCTGCAACAAGAAAGTGAATGTAAAGAATTTGTGCATGTCTGTCTCCTATGGACATCCTCCAGAACACAGCTTCTCAGGCAACGGCTCGTTTTGTGCAAAAAGAAAGGCAGAAGCTAGAAATGGTCCTTTTTTTCCTTTGTGCATGTCACATTTTTCCACTGAAATGTCCTGCTTGGCTGACCAAAAGCACCCCCTCTGCTTTCACTCCCAAAGTACAAATAGCTTGTTTCTTACCAATGCTTCTTTTTCTGCGAATGGGCACAGGACGGTTCTCTTGCACATGTTTAGCAGAATGAACACTGTAAGATCTCAAGTTTGTTTCTGAAACATCATCATATCCTAGAACAGGAAACAAAATGTTAAACCTCAGGTATGTTACTTGCACCAGTACTGCTACAGTGCTGCTCCACAGGTACAAATCTGTGCTGTTCATAGGCACAAGACCAAATCCTGCTACAATTAGTCTAATGTAACCCCTGGCAATGCAATTGCAAGGGCATAAGGCAGGGACAAAAGACACAGACATTGAATGTCATGTATAAGCATGCACAATTTAATTCCAATATCCATTTTACTGAAAGCCCCTAGAAACAGTGCACACACTGTGGCAGACAACCATGTCTAAAGTAAAACAGTTGCATTTTTATGTGAAAGGCATAATATGGTTTTTCTTACTGGAAAGGTGTAGAAATAGGAACAGTAAGCTTGCATGTGAAATGTTTCTTACAAACATTTTGAAGTTCTGGTATGAGGCAACAGTAGACAATATGGTATTAGACCCAACAGCAACAATGCTGCCTCTGTAAATTTTCTGTTGCTTGGTTTTCAGGGCAGTACTAGGACAGAATCAAAAGCAAAAAGTAACTAGCATGGGTTTCCTTTTAGCCTCTCTGTTGCAGAACAAATCCCCTGTGAAGTATCCTAACCTTTGGAGGGGCATCTGAAGCTACTGCAAACTCTGGGACTGCATCCAGGCTTGTCTTGTTCCCTAAATAAGCCTACCACATGGGTTAAAGGGCCATGAGAAAAAGCAAAGATGGAAAACTTGGCATTTCATTTATCATAAAAAACAACAAAATAACTGCTCCAACTATTTGGGTTTGTTAAGTGAAGCAGTTCAGGTCGTGTCCCATGCCGTGGGGTCTGAAAACCACAAGCACAATCTGCAAATAGGGGATCAGGAAGAAGGAACCAAACAGAGAACTGCACACAGACCCCAGGACACCCAAACTAAGGGGTTTAGCACCACTCTGCTGCTTGGAGTGTCCTCTGGAACATCATTGCAGAGTTTCAAGGTTTGACTGCAGACTCCTAAGAAAACTGTGACGTGCTCTAAAAAAATGCAAAAGGGTATTATACAGTACTCAATTACCCTCTCTGCAAGCTACAACACCCTACACTCCCATCTTTTGCACTGTCACACTCCCTGCTTCCAGTTTGTTCTGTACACACAGCTGTCTGTCTCTGGAACTGGTTTTAATCTCAGTTTTATTAGTAACACACATCATAAGGCTCTGTTCCACAAAACAACCAACTCCTTTTCTCCTCCCTCCAAGAAATTGTGCCCTAAGGAACATGCAGCTTATGAAATCACCTGTACAGCCAGGTGAGACATGAAGATAGCAGGATCTTCAGCACCTTAGAAAGAGTTCTGCATCTCAGAGTTTATCATTACTTCTTGGAAAATACTACTGTAAGTAGCTAAGACAAGATAAAATCAGAGGTCCAAGAGGTCGTGCCAGGATCACCCACTGGTCCTGTCTATTTTCCTTATCAGCTGAACAGATCCTCGTATGAAATTAGTCATTGTGAAATCCACAGTCTCAATTTATCCAAGTAAATTGGCTCCAAGCTCCTATGTATGGTACTCGTTTCCCATAGATTTCAATGGGAAATTTTGGAACCAGACTAATTAGCTGGTATTGGGCCTTATTTGCAGTCCCAGTCCTGTCATGTAACACAGCAATGACTAAAGGGTTTTATTTCTGCTTTTATTGCACCCCATACTCCAGAAAACTCATCAGTGGTATAAATAAAATGGCTTGCCAGAGATCCCACAGGAAGTTTGCAACTGAGCTGGGGAGTGGAGCCAGGTCTCCCACATCCCATTCCAATGGCACCAGGCCATCCACCTGATCCCAAATGGCGTTATGCAAAATGAGGATCCGTTCTGATGTGCCTCCAGCTCTCTTCTGTTTCCTAGCACTCAGCCACCCAACACCTTAATACCGACCTCCTTTTTGGCAGCTTCAAGTTGTCACAACCTCTCCCTCAATTTGAGGCAATGAAGTGATACTCGACAGCAGCGTGAATTCTGCTCAGCCCGAGATCCAAGCTAGGCTCAGAGCAAGAAGCATGTCCGTGCACAAGCAAACAATGTTTATAAGGAGATTAGACACAAAAGTAATGCCTCTAATCCCAACTGCTTGGTGGGCACAGGCATCAGGCTGGAAAGGGAAGCTGGCAGGGCTGCCAGCACTACGGCAGGGCTGGGCCACAGCTCCTAATCCCACACTCAGCAATGCTGGCACAGCTCCCTGCTAGCATGAAGGATCCCTCGCTGCCTCCTGTAAAGAAGCTGGTAAGAGCCAAAGGACTGGTATGATCAGCTAACCAGGATGTTAAGTCATGTGCTTACACAGAAGTGCTCGACTCAGCTGCCATTAGCCATTTTCCATCACCACGTTTATAAAGCAAAATGACACCTCAAGGAGATGTGTTGTTTATAAGATGATTTCTAAGGTGAAGAGCATGTATAGCAGGTCCTAAGTTCATGTCTCTCTGTGAGGGTTACAAGAGATCTATCTACACAGCTAGCTCAGCAGAACAAGTTCCAGTCAAACCTCAATGCGTTATCTAACACAAATTGTATTATTTCTATCATCACATCATCCAAGTTTGGTTTAATAAACAGAATCATGGGGCATGGCTGGAGCCAGAAGACACTACAATGCTAAAGGCACTTAAGTGTCCCCCGATTCCCACAGGCATTTGGAAGGAATTCCATTTCCCAGTGAAGTCAATGGGAAAATCAATGCACTTCAAGCAATGTTTAAGTCAACTGGAGTCTTGCCCAAGCAGGAGTGAAAAATCACCAAGTCAGCTCTGAAACTCACACTTGGCTCTGAAAGCATGGCCAGAAGACCTCCTTTTATTTCATTAAAACCACCATGCTACAAAGAGCACTCTCTAGTTTGACTTTAAGGAAGGGTGATACTTAATGTGTATCAGTTTTTCCTCCAATGTACTGATTTCGTTGCAGGGTGAGGATAAGCTCTTAGCAAAGGAAATGCGAGTTTATGGGTGCTTAGCACCTCACAAAATGAGGTTTAGAGCAGAAAGCCTAGAAATGGGTGGTTCTTAGTTTAGAACTCAAACACTGCTCGTCACCAAGTGAAGATGGAGGATGCTGCACAGAGCCAGATTAGTGCAGCTTTCTTTTAACGATTTAATAATAAAAAAATGTTTTCATGGCAGCCAATCAAGACATTTCTCTGTAATCTTTTATGTACTGACAACATATCAATGATGGGCATAAAAACTCTTGCAATTAGCCTTGGTCAATCCATTAGTGTAGCTGAAATTGTTCTTTTTTGTCAGATTGGCAATTTTCCACTGGGTCATGGAATATAAATCACAGAGTTCCTGTGACATTCTGCCAATACATGATTACTCTTCTCACTCAAGAAGCATGTGGAAAGCATCCTAAGTTTACTGCTATTTTCTATTTATCAATTTATATGCATTTCCATCTTCTTACCAAACTATTTTATGTGAGGTACAACTCCCAACACATGCAGTCTAAATGCAAACCCTTCTAGATTTCACTTTGATGTGCATCCAGAAACTACAGATCCAAGACTTCTAGTACCAACAGCAGCAGTTTAGGAAATTCTTATAATCTCATTTTTTTCAGGAATTCAATGTAAGGTACAATAAAATGAAATTAAATGGTCTGTCTTACAAATCAGTCCTAGAGCCAGAAAGCCCACGGCAACATCAGTCTGTTTTTTGATCTTCTTTTTGGCTGATATAAAATTTGCCCTTCTGACATTTCAACTGCAGAGATAGATGTCATTAAGTTTTCAACTTTGATCTGTTAAAGGAAATATAAGTAGCAGCTCGCTTGTTTAGGTTTTCTTTTTTTCCTTTACCTAGGTGTGATCGACCAACTGTAAAGGAGGAGGAGTATACCCTCATCTGTCTCAGGAAAAACAGAGGCCACACATGGAAGATGCCTCTCATGATGTGTAAGAAGTGCAAGGGAAGCCAAAACATTGGACTGCAACGTCCTTCCTTCATTGAGCACCACACCACAACCTGCAAAGTCAACAGCAGATTTTCCAAAAGATTGAACTCTGCAGCAGCCTAACACTTTTTCCATGGAAGAACACAGTTAATTTAGAACGTTTCTCCACTTAACAAAAGCTGCTCTGCTAGTTCTTAATCACAGGCTGTTAAATTCACATGGCCTAAGGTGACCCTGGTGGATGCCCTTAACCCGTGCAAAGAGGCACACTCAGCCCTGCCTTTCCCCATGCAGGCAGATGACTTGGGGAAAATCTGTTCCCAGCAGGAGGCAAACATAATAGGTGATGAAATGAACTCTACCTCCCACAGGACAGATGGGAGAGGTGAAGCACGAGGAGAAAAACCACGCTGCTGAGCCAGAGAGAACTTCACAAGCAGAGCAGAGGAAATGCCCCCGTTTTGGGGATTTAGTCTGCTCGTAGTAAAACTGTACTCTGCACACTAGAGCTGCCTACTTCCTGGGACTGTGCATGCTTTCTCCTTTAAACAGGGTCAGACTCTGCTCTCCGTCGTGCCAAGGCAATTCTGTCACTGCCTCCAGATTCCAATCGCAGCAAATTGATACAAGACCCTATTTCCTGATAGAAACAGAGAATTTTCACGCTGCCTTTACCCTCCGAGTCGGACATACAGCACTGGGCTCTGACAAACTGGCCTGGATTTTCTTTTTTGAATACAATGATAAGCTCCATGTTGGGTAGTGTTTTTCTTTAAGTAATATGCCAGATGGTCTGGGGGTGTGGTTTCTAATTTTATGAAGGGGTTATCAGTCATCTCTGCGCTACAATATAGAGACCAAATCTGTCAGAATAGAAGAAAAACCTGCCCACTCTGACTTACAAAACTTACTTTTCCAATTAAAAATATACGTTTTGCATTGCAGGAGAGAAAATGACTGTTCTTCCTTCGTTTTCCACAGATTCCGCCTTGTTACTCAGGAATATCAGACATTTTCTTCATGCATGCCTGATCCTGCAAACTCTTAGCCTACAAGATCATTCTTAATTCTCAAGTCCACCCACTGAGTTTAAACAGGGCTACTCACATGCAGAAGGACTGGCAATACCATGCACTATAACAAGGCAGAGAACAGTCACTGGAGTGATTTTGTTCTGAGCCTCAGCTGAAAATGAGTACATGCTATAAAAGTGAAATATACCTACTGTACAAGCCCTCACTGAACTAGCTGTTCCCTAAAGGCAACTGCAGCCCTAAGGAAATATATTTCAGAAATATCATCTTACCAGGGACAACGAGAAAACATTTGATTTGCTAATTCAAGCTAATACTAAATATAGTAAACAGGCCCGATCCTGTTTACTGAGGAAAGCACGGCAATTTCAATACTCGATTAGTCACCCTGATAAGCCTTTAGTAAGAATTACTCATGACAGTAAAGCCTGGAGGACTGTGCCCAGGAAAAGCAAATGTGGGTAGTAAAGACGGGTTACTCCATGAAAACCCAACCATGCCTGAGTAGCTCAGAGCACAGCTTAGCACACAAGCAAAAGCAGCACTCACATAAGCAAGAACCGGGTGAAAGGCTGAATATTTTGGTTTTATTTTTTAATATTGTTTGAGTTCATGTCTTAAGGAATTACTGTTTCACAGTGAGATAGTAAAATATTTATGTCTCTTGTTTCTCTAATGCTTTCTAAACTGACAAATTGCAAAAAAAACAGCAAAATGAAATGGGTAAACTTCTGGCTGACCTTTTCCATTTTCGGTCTTGCATCCTCCAGTTAATATTTGCCACGAGGTAAATAATTATTTTCTGAAATAAATTTCTCTGCTACATCTACCCATTTATTCAGTTCCTGCCATTGCCCCACTTGTCTGCCTGATTCTCTTGCAATGGAGCCACGTGAACTTTTGCTCTCTTTCTAAGTGGTATTTAAAAATGAAGCATGTGCTTGCTACGCTGAGGTATTTGAAAAAATAATGTATTCTGGTAGCTACAGAACCCTGACTCAAAGGCAGGAGCAGCACGCACTATTTTAAAATGCTAGCGCTCAGATCCAGCCCTTCTGCAACAGCAGCCAACTCTACCAAGTTCACAGGGAAGAAAAAAATTTAGCAGTAGTGCACTTGTCTGGTCCAAAACAGCCTTCAGTGGGGAAATATGAACTGCATATGCCTTCCCTGTTGTGAAAGTTTCTTTAATTGTGGTGATAAACAACAATGATGAAGCACTGCTCTCCAAAAATATTAAACTGATGCCAACCTGGTAATTAGTAATTAGCCTCTATGGTAAAGTGTTGTGCAAGACAGAAATACTCCCCTTTTCAGTGTAATGGGAAAACGTTTGCTCCCTAATCACATGAAAATTGAAAGCTATGACTGTAAAATACGTTCCTAGTGCATTCCTGCTCGTTAATAGAGCACTGTACAAAAAGCAGTGAGTTAAACTCTAGAAGGATCCTGCAACTCTGAATGAAGGTGATTGAACCTGGCACAGACTTTACAAAAATACACAGCATATGGTTTAAAAGGAGATGGCCCAGTACCAATGCAAGCAAGAACTCATTCATTTTTCTCCATGTTTGTGCTTCAGCAAGATGCAGGCTTCCCCTGGGCACATCAAAGGTGCCGGGTTTATTCTCTCTCAACTGAGGGAAGAAATCACCAGGAACAAAGTGCATCAAGCGAAACCAAATGATAAGGAACCCAGCAATACCATGCTTCTAGATGTGATTTACTGCTGCAACGATCTGTTAAACTGCACGTTCTCACTACACCCATTTGCATGCCTAATGATGCAGAAAATAACCCTGCACTATTTTCTTTTGGAAAAAAAAAAAAAAAAGTGTATTTTTGAGGGTAAGCTTCATATGCAGGTTTCTGTTTAAAATCAGCGCGGACTGTTTATTTTCCTTTTAATAAAGCCCAGCGCTTGAAGAGACATTACTTCATTCATAAATATTGTTTCAAATATTTTAAATACCTCTAGGACAGTAGTTTAAAGATAACAGAGCAATGCAAGACCAACAACAAACCTTATGGCAATTCTTCTCCGCTGCGAGACGGAGAGAGCTCTGAAAACACGGGGGGTCACAAGGTCCCTCTCCACCCTGAACCCCACGAAGTTTTAACTCCCGATCGGCCCCTTGGCCGCCGCCTCCCCGTGACACGCATCCCAGGGCGGCCCGGCTCTCGGGGCCGCTCCCCGCACGGGTGTCTCGGGCGAGGCGCGGAGCGGCGTGCGGGGAGCGCGGGGCGTGCGGGGCCTCCCCCCGGGGCGGCGGCGGCCGACGGCGCGGAAGGAAGGAGGACGGGACTAATTTACCTACGGAGTCAATCTCCAGGAGGCGCTGCAAGTCGCGGATGCTGTGGATCTCGCTGTGCGCCAGCCGCTCGATGAGCTCCTGCGGGATCTCGGCCTCCTTCAAAGACACACACACACCGCGGGTCACCGCGCAGTCCCGCCAGGCGCGCCCGCAGCGCCGGGCATGCGGCGCGCCGCTCCTCCGGGCTTGCCGGGGAGGGTGCGGGGTGTTTGCGGGACGTGTGGGGATGAAGCAGGGGGAAAGTACACGCACACACCCCACCACAGCGCTCCGCGGGGCGCCGGAGCGCTCCCGCCGCCCCCGCCTGCGCGCCCGCGGGGGCTGCGCGCCGCCCGCCCGACTGCGCCACGGCTCAGCGGGGCGGCAGCTCCGCACGGCCCCGCCTGGCAGCGTGTGCCCGGCAGCGCCGAGCCCCGAGCCCCGCTCGGCGGCAGGAGCCCACCCCGGGCAGCGGCTGCCCAAGTTCGCCCCGGCGGACGCCAAGTCCCCCGCGGGCTCGGGCTCCCCGGAGCCGGGCAGGAGGAGGAGGACGAGGAGAACCGCGTCCCACGGGGCGCCGCCATCCTACCAGCGCCCACGTCGCGGCTCCCAGTGCCAAGCAGACCGGGTCCCGGGAAAAGTTACAGCCGCTGTGCAGCGCCGAGCACCGCGCTCGCCCCGACCGGGGCCACCTGTAGCAAGCCCGGGACGCGGCTCCGCGCCCCCTCCGTCCCCTGCGGGCAGACGGGCGGGAGAGCTCCTGACTGCTCGGGGGGATCTTCACAAACCGGGGACGGGCGTTTTGGGGCGCGGGGGATTCACCCAAGTTCTGCCCGCGGCACTAGCGGTGCCCGCGGCCGCCGTGTGCAGCGCTGGGCGCCGCGGGGGCGGCCCGGCTCCGCACACCCTCGGCTTCCGCACAGCCGCAGCCCGCTGGCACCCGCGGGGCGTGGATATTTTATCATGTATTTATTATATATATAATAGATATTATATACATATTAATTCTTAAGGGCAGCCAGCAGCCCGGGCGCGGAATGCACGGTCATTCCCCTTCTCTTCTGCCATGCATGAAATGGCAACTTGCTCCCAGGCTCGGCCCCGCAGGGCCCGGGGCAGGGCAGCGCTCCCGGCGGGGCCGGGGCGCAGGGATGCCCGCGGAGCCCAGGTGAGCAGCCCGCTCCCTCCCCGGTGCCCTCCGCCGCGGCTCGCCCCGACCCCCGGCTGCGGCGTGCCCCCGGGACGGGCAGCGCAGGAAGCCGCTCTCACCTACCTCGGAGAAGGTAAAGGACAGGTATCCAAAACCTATCAGCAAAACGCAAGCCCAGGTCCTCATCGCGGTCTAGTGCACTTTAGACACGGAGGGAAGGCAACGCTGATGGAGAGGGGCTGCAGGCCGGCTCCTGCCGCGCAGGAATTCAGTACCATCCCTCAGGGGAAAGGCAGCGGGGTGGCTCGGGGGTCCTCCGCATCCAGGGTGGGTCGGGGCTGCCCGGGGCGGCGGTGGCTCAATGACGGCGCGGCCGCTGTTTGTACGTTCCCCTCGCTACGGGAGCGTGGCTGCTCTCCCTTCTGCCGCTCTCGCTCGCTTCTCTTGGCTCTTAGGACTAGACCAGCCGGTACTTCTGCATATTTGCTTAGATCAGACCAAAGTGAAACCCAAGGAGTCGATCCGGAGCGCAGCCGAAACGCCCATCACCTGTCTGGGGCGGCTGCCCCCCTCGCGCGGGCGGCGCTGGGGCCGCCTCCCCCCGCCGCGGCCGCCGCTCCGCGCCGCGCCGGGACCGCGGGGCTGCGCTCTCCGCCGAGGGCCGGCCCCCCCCGCCGTGCCTGCCCTCCACCCGGCCCCTCCTCGGAGAGGGGAAAAATCAAAAATCTTTATTGATACGGAGCGAAATGTTTCTCTTGCCGAGAACGGTCCCGCTTCCCTCCCCGGCTTGGGGCGAGGTCAAAAATAATAATTAATTAGGAATAATAGCAGGGACAAATCGGAGCAGTATTGCAGGATCTCGCGGGCTGCCTTGGTGCAGTTCCTGCTCCACTTTGCACGGGAGAAAAAGACAGGAGGAGGAGGAGGAAGGAGGGGGAAAAAAAAATATATATATATATATATATATGCAAGAAGGTTTAAATCCCAAGGGGATCGGAGACGAACTGCAACTCCAGGCAGAGGGAGGCTCAGGGCTCGCTCCGGAGCGGTGGCCGGTCTGCAGCGTGGCCCCGGCGAGGAGCAGCATATACCGCTCCCGCCCCGCCGTGCGCCGCCCCCGCCCCTCCTCCCGGGTACTCCCGGCACCAGACCCACCAACAACAAGTCGTGGGGGTGCCGGCAGCTGCGGCGCCTGCTCCGGGGCCAGGGGCTCTGCCCACTGAGAGGGGAAAACAAGGAGCCGGCGGCGGGCAGGGGCCGGGGGGAGCGGGGCAGCCCCCGCCGCCGGCCCTCTGCGGCACCGGGCGGAGGGGCGGGCGCTGCTGCGCAGCAGCCGCCGTGTAACCTGGCGGGCTCGGCCGTGTGCTCTGCCTTTACATAAGGCAGAACGGATCGCCATGGCCACGGCGCGATCGTGTGTGCGTGTGTGTGCGCTTTCTTATGGTTGTTATTCTATTTTAGCGGGGGGGCCTTGCCTTTTGCAGAAGGGGAGGGGCAGAGCGGCGGAGGGTTGTGGTGTGCGGGTTTTAACGTAGCTGTTGCAGCGCAGCCTTCATTGCGAAGGACAACACGCACGCACAGCCTTAAGGAATAGAAAAGCACCCCCAAACCGCACGAGAGGCAGCGGGGGGTAGGAGGGCGGTGCGGGCGGGGGGCAGCGGAGCCCTCCGCCCTGCGGCACCCGGCTGCGGCATGCGCGGGTGCGGGGCTCCCCGCCGCGGCCGCGGGGACGCCGCGCCCCGGGGCTCCGCCGCAGCCGGACCAGCCTTCGCAACTGCCCCGGCTCCCCGCAATTGCTCTGGACCCCCGCAACTGCCCCAGTTCCGCACCCCGCACCGACCCTCCGTAGCCGGCCCGGGTCTCCCGCAGCAGGTCCCGAACCCCGCAGCCGGTCCCGAACCCCGCAGCCGGCCCCGCCGCTCCGCGTTCCCTTCGCCTTCGCTCGCCTCGCCGCCCCGGCGAGAAATTGCCCCCGTTCCCCCGGCGCGGATTGGCACAAGGTGACTGCTGCACCCTGACATCTCCCTGAACTCATTGTGATTTAAATAACAGCCCTTTCTCATCTAAACAAAGGTTCTTAATAGCAGATGCAAAGAATTCAGCTCATCTGAAAATCCAATAGCATTTAAGTGGATTAACTGCAATAACACAACTGAGGAGTGATACTATCCTTCATGGGAGACAATAGACTGTAAATGCACAGCCAGGGAGACTTATCCTTTCATCTCTGAATTTCCTTCAGCATTTCAAAAGCGAATGCTTTCTAGAAGCCCTGAAGGGGTTTGCACGCTACTGGCTTGGACATGCTTCTAGGAAACAACCTGTGCTTTAATGGGCACTTTGCAATTGCATAGAAGTTCCCACCAAAACAGAAGTGGCCTTTCAAGTACGTTTAATTCTCTCTCATGATGTCATGTAGGCTTACAGGGTGGTCTCCAGGACCACAAGGGGGGAAAAAAAAAAGGTGGGGGTTGTAAAGAGAGAAAAGGAAAAGAGATGTAAAAGATTTGGAAGCACTTTAAAAAAGAGAATGCTGCTGCTTCTTTTTTTTTTTTTTAAAGTCAGAAAATGCTGAGCCAGTGTGGAGCCATTCCCAAATGCCTCCTGATATTAAAAAAATGACCTGAGTGCCACACTGCAGCAGAGTCACCCATGCAGGCACGAAGAGACAGAGCAGGGCAGGACACTCTGGTAGTGCCATCACTTTCTTCCATGGCAGAAGTAAAAAAGCAACTACTTCTGTTTAGAAAAAATCTCATTTGCACAGTCTCATTTGCTGGGGTTAAAGAAGCAATTCTTATGGTCCATGTTGTCATAGTAATAAAAAAAAATAATTACTAAACAGTGAAATAGATTCTGACAGTACCGGCTGGCTGAGCCTTTACTCCTCTCCTTCCTTCCTTGATTGGCTAGTGCATTTGGGATCAGAAGTGCTGTGTATTTGTAGCTCTTGCTAGTGGTATTTCACTGCAAAAGCCAAGAGAGATGACTTATTCTTATGATAAAAAAAATCTATGCAGTTTTGATTCTTCTTATATTTCCCTCATTTTACAAGAGACATACTGCATCAGCATCTTTTTTTAATCTGTCGTTGTGGAGCTCAGATAAGCATCTTTCCTCTGGGTCAAGTTACACTTGGAGTAGCTTTTAACATTAGACTGTTTATAAGGGATCATTACAAATATTTGATAATAATGCAAAATATGTAAGATCCCAGAGGAGAGCAAAGACTAGGAAACATAAATAAAATTCACATATATTCTGCAAACAACTTTATACTTAGGTTGTCTGCCTTACAAAATTTTGTCCTTGTCTATTGTTTGATCTAAAATTGCATTTGTTGCCTCTAAGTCCCTACATACAGCTGTGTGAAAAGCCAAACACCAGTGCATGGCACCTTCCCGTGGTCTGCACATCTATTGCACATGTGTGCACCAGACATGAAATATCACCTTTTATGTAATACCCACAAGCCACACATAAGGAAGGAGTGACAGGATGGTGGTTATAGGTTTAAAAGGAAATCGGTACCAAGAACAGAGCATCAGAAAATTAGGTTTTGCACTTTTTTATTTATCTGAGAGCAGCGAGCAAGATATCACTTGTCTAATTTAGAGCACGCACTGTTAGAAGTCTCTCAAATGTCAGGAATTATAATAGAATTACACCATGACAGAGT